TATCCTTTTTTTACCTTCTAAGTGACATGCTATTTTGGGTATTTGCACCATTTCACGTATCAAGGTGTAGAAGTTGGTAGTTGGTTCTATGATTAATAAAAATAAAATAATAAAAATGTTGAAATAAATAAAATTTTTAATTTTATAGCCTCGTGGTCCTAAACCTAAAATACCGCATGATGATGTTTTTAAAGTACTGGAGGACGTTTGTGATGAATTATTTGATTCTAATGGGAACTTAATGCTTTACACTTCTAATATTTGGTCTAATATTTGCAACGATTTGGATGGTAAAATAACTACACATAGCTTATACATATCAGTATACCAGGATCACCATTCATGGTTAACACGTTTGAAAAATAGTAGACATTTTCCAATTTTACAACAGCCATCTATAATTGCTAAAAATAAATCAAATGATGAAAGTTTAAAATCATCAATACTTAATTCTTCATTAAATATAAAAAAAAAAATATTAAATGTTTCAGTATTGAAATTTCTTACCGTAAATTTATTAAAATGAAACAAACTACCATTATGTATGGGGAAAAAAATAAAAAAAGGTGTATACTACATTAAAGCTAGGTGTCTGGACAAACATAATTAATGACGAGTTTCTGAAGAATTATAAAATGCCATGTACATACATTTACAAAAGATGTGTATCTAATTCTTCAAGTTTCAAAGTTTTCAATGAAAATGTAAGGATTGCGGGGTATATTTACATGGTTGGTCAGATCGCAAACCTCAAGAAAGGTTTCCGTTAAAGCTATTCGTAGAAACTAAGGATATAAGGGATTCTTGGGAAGAACATTATTTAAAAAGACCCTTGAACGGATACAAACGATCAATTGTCGGAAAATCATTATTCAAAGATACTGCCGGAAATTGGCGAAGACAAGCTGTTTCATCTATTGAATTTGGTGATCATTTACCGCCCAATATTTATAACAATTCTGTACTATGGAAGTGTAAACAGCTGTTTAAAGACAATTCTTTAGGAATCACGGAAAACTGTCCAATAAAGTCACTTATTGAACTAAAGTATGGGAAATATGCAAGCTCAGTCCATACAATATCTGCAGCTAAACTATTTATTTTATATTGGACACCTTCGCAACTCGTTATGTATAAGCACGTTCAAAAATCGTACTGCCGTTTATCGATTGATGCAACAGAAGGTTTGATAAAAAAAATAAATAGAACAAAACAAGGTATTTTATCAGGTCACATATTTTTATACGAATTAGTGTTAAATACAAATAGTTATCAAATTCCAGTTACACAAATGGTAAGTGAGCCACATGATATACTTACCATTTTTTACTGGTTAGCACAATGGCTTAAAGACGGTGTCCCCATACCACAAGAAACTACATTTGATTATTCTAAAGCATTGCTAGGTGCAATTTCGAGAGCGTTTTGTAATGGAATCACACTAAACAATTATGTAGAGAAATGTTTCAAAATTTTGTATTACAAATCTAACAACTTACCTGCAAGTTACATCCGAATTGACATAGCTCATATAGTTAAACTAGTTTGTCGCTGGAAATGTTAAACAGGCACAAAAAATTACAGCTTAAAAGAATTTTATGTTAGATGTGTTATGTTGTTGATTCGAGCAAATTTTTAGAAGAATTTGAAAATGTTTTGCTAAATATATTAACAGTATCTATAAGCCAAATCGAGGGTGAACAAATAGGAAGTTCTAATAAATGTCCAACTGAGGAAGCCAGAATACGGTTACTCAACAATATAAGAGGCACCAAGATCAATGAAAATGGTATGTCAAAATATATTTTGGATAACAAAAGTAGTTTATTTTCAAATGATTCAGATGAGGAAATTGATGTATTTAATACAAACGTACAAGAAAATTAAAAAATTAATGAATTTTTGAATAGAATAAAATCTAAGGCCTCTTTCACACGAAGCCACCAGAGCAGCGCCACCATGGTCGCGCCACCACAAATTATTAGGCCTCTTTCACACGAAGCCACCAGAGCAGCGCCACCATGGTCGCGCCACCACAAATTATTAATAACTAAATTAAGGTTTTCACATTTGGTGGCGCCACAAACTTGGTCGCGCCACTCTTATCAGTTCATGCCACCAAATATGCTAAACGCGCGACCAGAATAGTCGCGCCACCAGTTAAATTTATATTGTTTTGATGTAAAAACGCGCATTCTATTCATTCGATCGACTGCCACCGATACGTTTGTACGTTATTTTTGACGTTGTCAATATTTTCGCTATGGATACCAATTTTGACTCAGAAAAATTCATTATTGAAATTGAAAATCGGCCGGCAATATGGAATTCTGCTTGTCCTGAATATTCAAATCGTGATTTAAAAAAAAAATGCTGGGAAGAATTAACTAATATATTTTCTTTTGAAGATAATACATTACAAGAAAAAAAAGAAATTGGTAAGTACATATGTATCTGTAGTACCTTTATATTTCAAAAAATTAATAAAAATAAAAATTTGGATAAACTTCATGTTACATAAATTAAACTTCTTTTTACATTTATAAAATCTTTGAATTTATCAAGATATTAAAATAAAAACATGAAAGCTTAAATTTTACTATACTGCCATTCAATTTGACCATCAGTTATAAAATAATGTGCGTATTTATCCCTCACAGCTTGTGCAGTTCTTGATCCTCTTGTTTCATTTTGATTTTCTATAGGTACATTTTCCAATCCTTGAACTGTTAAAGTATCATCATACCGATATCCATCTCTTACTCTAGCAAAATTGTGTAAAATACAACAAGCTTTAATAATATTTTGTGCCAAATCAAGTTTCACGTTTAACGGTCGATGAAAAATCCTCCATTTATTGGAAAGAATTCCAAATGTGCATTCTATATATCTTCTAGCTCTTGAAAGCCGATAATTAAAAATTTTTTTTGACATGGTTAAATTATTACCACGATATGGGCGCATTATATTTTCCGATAAACCAAATGCTTCGTCACCAACTATTACATATGGCATTGGTTCTGGGTTTAATGTTGAAATTGGTTTTGGATTAGGAATATTAAGAGAATTGTTAATCAGTTTTTTATAAAACAAAGATTCTTTAAAAATTGACGAATCGCTACTCTTTCCGTATGCACCAACATCTATGGCGACAAATGAGTAGTTAGCGTCACAAACACCAATCAATACAATCGAAAAATAATGCTTGTAATTGTAATACAATGAACCTGTGTCTGTGGGCTTTATAACTCTGATGTGCTTACCATCAACTGCGCCTATACAATTTGGAAAATTTGCAAATGTTTCAAATTTATTTGAAATTTCGAGCCAATCTTCTGTAGACGGTTGTGGCATACATATTTCTTTTAATTTGTTCCATATAACTTCACAGACTAGAGCGACAAATCCAGATATTGTAGAAATTCCGAGGCGATATTCGTGGTGTAATTCCGTAAAAGAGCATCCACTAGCAAGGTATCTGCGTAAAAAAATAAAAAAATAAACATATTACAGTGAAAGTAAAAAATCAAATAATGATTGATATAATTTAAAAAAAAAGGTTTTAACTATTTTTCCATCATAAAATAAATTTTAAATATTAAAAATTAAAAACTACGTTTATAAAACTCCTTTCTTTAAATATATTTAAAATATTTTATCTGCTTCAGGTTAAATTTTTTTATACAGTTCATGTCATAATTATTTTATTAACAATAATTAATATTAAATATTGAACACATAGTTATTAAATCTCAAGTCAATAGTGTTCATACATAAAAGTTTTTTAATATTTTTGAAATAAATTCGATAATGTTTTTTAATTTTATAAATAAATACGTATTTTCACAAAAAAATTAATTTTTTAGGAATAAATTTGCAACGCAAATGGAAAAGTTTACGCGATTGTTTTTCTAGAGAATTAGGCAGAGTTAAAAAACTTAAATCCGGGTCTGAAACTTCCAGAAAAAATCCCTATGTCTTTTACAATCAGTTATTATTTCTAAAACCAATCATCCAGAATAAATCAACAGAAACAAATATAATGCCAGATGCTGATGAAAGTGGAGATGATTTAGGAGGTCCTTCTACTAGTCAAGTATCAAATAGTGAACCTAGTTCTAAGAAGAAAAAAACTACCTCTATAAATTCATTGGAAAAAGAAATAATTGACGCATTACATAAAAGTGTTGAGCTTCGAGAAGAACAGACCAAAAAATACGAGGAAGACGCTGATAGATTGTTTTTGTTATCTTTGTTAAAACCTTTAAAAGAAATACCTGAACACTTACGTTTTTCAGTTAAAATGGATTTAATGAAAATAATAAATAATGCTCAAATCCAGGCCCGCTCTGACCTCTTCAGCTGCCTTTGTTCTACAAAAAAACTGCCCCCCCCTCCCACTCACTTTATCACGCAATATCATACCTTGACTGAACAAAAATTGTATTTGCATATTTAGGTATGAGGATTGTAGCATGTAAGTACCTATATTAAATCTTTGGTGTATGGTATAAATGTCTTAAGTCAAAAATTGACATTTTTGGATTATGGTATTATTAAAATCAAAAAATTGTATATTTTTATATCTTGTTGATACAGATAACGTAAGTCAAAACTATCACCACTATAACCCACTATCAGTGAAATGAAATGTTATTAGCTGTCTTCCAATTAATTAATTAAATTTAAACATAAAAACATAATATATTATTTTAAAATGTAAGACAACTTTACCTTAACGAAATAAATTTGATAAAAATCAACTTTTTTTCTTCACCTATAAACCTATAGACTGGATATATACACAATAATCCAGTAATATGAATTTTAAAATAATTATAAGAACAAAACATAAAATTCAAGATGCAAAAAATTAAATTTCTACATAAAAGAAAAAAAGAACACAGTATACATAATATATATCATTATTATAATATAGTATTTTATAATTACATAGATTATATTATTTTAATGTTACAAAATAGCTTATTGTATAAATCTTAAACAAAATGAACTTTTCTAGCTTTTACAGCTGAAAACTTTTCAATTAATGATTTTGTGTCCAAACTTTGACATAACTGATGTTCAATTGAAATAATTGACAGATTAGTCAATCTATCTTGATTCATAGTTGATCTAAGGTAGTTTTTGACTATTTTTAACTTTGAAAAAGATCTTTCTCCTGTAGCAACACTAACAGGCATTGTTAAATAAATGCGTAGAGCAATACACATGTTAGGAAAAAATGATGATAAGCCATTTGTATGAATATAATTTAAAACATCATGGGAATTGTAATCTAATTTTAAATGAATTCTTAATGATATAATTTCTTCGTACAACTCAGGACCACTTATATCAGATTCATTAAGGACATTATCGGTCAGATGTATTTGTAAATCATTACAATGTTTGAGTAGTTCTTTATCAGACATTTGTATTAAATTCTTAATTGAATAAAATATTAAAAATATATCCGAATTTGTTCTAAGTAACTCAAATCTTTCATTAAGTGATGATAAAGTAGAATCTAAAATAGTATAGTAAAAGTTACATTTAAAACTATTTTGTGGATCAATTATGGGTTCATCTTCAGTTTCATAATCAAAATGTTTCTTTCTTTTCCTAAGTCTTTGTTCTATTGGAAATGTAGTGTCTCCGTTTACATCTAAAGATAACTTTTTTGACTTTAAGATAATATCTAAAAAATGTTCATCACTTCTTTTCTTTGTAAAGTATTCTTTTAAATTTTCAATCATCTCTAAAGCAATGCCAATATTTAATTTTGGGTCTTGAAACATTTTACTCACAATATTAATTTTTGATAATATTTTATACCATATTATTGTAGCACATATAAATTTGAAGGATTGTATTTTTTTACACAACGACTGGGCTAGTAGTCGTGTGTTCATGTCCTCTGTCTCATCTTCATTTATTTGAATTAAAGAATCATATATTTCTCCAAGCTGATATTTTAGAGGCTTTATTGATTCAATTCTACTTTCCCATCTAGTGTTTGATAAAGGTTTTAATGTTAAATTTGAAATATTTTTTTTGAGAATATTCCAACGTTTTGTTGACGCAGAGAAATATACATATAACTCTTGAACAATATTAAAAAAATCAACAATTTCAAATGACATTTTAGCAGCATCATTTACAACTAGATTAAGAGAATGTGCAGAACAAGGCACAAAAAAAGCACGAGGATTTATCTGAAGAATTTTTTTCTGTACACCATTGTGCTTTCCTCGCAAGTTCGCACCATTGTCGTAGCCTTGTCCTCTTAGGTCATTTATGTTTAATTTTAATTCAGCTAAAACATTTAATAAACAATCTGAAAGTCCTTTTCCTGTGGAATCATTAATGGGAACAAAACCCAAAAAATGTTCACAAATTACTGCTTCATTCTTTTTGACAAATCTTACAACAATTGTCAATTGTTCTGAATGACTCACGTCTGGAGTACAATCAAGAATAATTGAAAAGTATTTTGATTCTTTCAACATGTCAATTATTTTTGATTTTATATTTTCTGCTATTAAAGCTATCAACTCATTTTGAATTTTATCTCCTAAGTAATGAGCCTGTTTTGAATGACAATTTTGTGATTTTTCCACTCTACGCAAATGTTCCAACATCACATTATCAAATTTAGATATCATTTCAGTAAATTTTAAAAAATTACCATTGTTATGATGATAAAGTAAATTAGAACTTCCTCTAAAAGCCAAAGATTGTTGAGATAAAAATTGAATAATATAAATAATTCTCTCTAATACAGCACACCACCGTTTTTTTTCTAATTCATATATTCGTTGTTGTATACAATCAATAGTTGTCCCTTTTTTTTAGAGATAATGTTAATTTTGACCATTCTTGACAACAAGTTAAATGGTTATGACTTAATTCATGTTTGGAAAGTAAAAAAGATAAATGCTGCCAGTCATTACACCCAGTAATAAATTGATTACTTTGTTTTCTGTTAAATATTTTACAATAAAGACAATAAACACTATTATTAATAATAGAATATAATAACCAAGGTCGAATAATTTTTTCACTATTACTCATATTACGGTAATAGTAAATTTCAGAAAATTTTCTATTCATTTCATATAAAGGAAAGTTATAATTTTTCACTTGAACAGGATGGTGCATTATTAAAATTTCTATATTTTTATTGTTCAAATGATCAGGCCATGTACCAGGATCATCAGATATCAAAATGTTTTCCACTAATAAATCATTCATGGACTCACCATTATCTTCTTTCTTACTTATATTTTTTTCTGATACCAATGAAGTGATTTCATTCGTGGACTCATCAACATCTTCTTTCACACTTATAATTTTGTGTGGTAACAATGAGGTATTACCTGTTGAAATATGGCAATATTCATATTATAATAATATAAAATACAGGTATAGGTATATATAGGTACTATCAAATTGAACTAGGTTTATTAATTAGTACTGATTTAGCAAAAGTATGAAAAAATTACAAAACCTGATACATTTTCTTTTTGGTAGATTAAACTGTATACCTCAAAAAAAAAAAAAACAAAAACAAAAAAAAACAAACAAAAAAAAAAATTACTTAATTCTAACTTGTTTTTTGAAGTACAAACTACAAAAAGTAAAATTATTATACACAAATTAACATATCAAAAATAAATTTAATGAACTGCTCAAAAAGATGAAATGAAATATTAATTAAATTAAATTAAAATGTATACATCTAAATTTGCTACAACTCACTAGTATTTAATTATTTTACTTAACTTGTATACTATGTGCTAAAAAACCCAAAAATATGCCCTAGTAACAATTTGCATTTAAAACTCTAGAATTAAAGATTTTTATTCACAAGCAAAATCTTACCTAGATCGGCCAGATTAACTCCAGTTTCTGGGCTAGTATTTGAGAAAAAATCATTAATTTTTTTAGTTTTGGAAAGCACATCCTCCAACTTCTGTGCTTTTTCTTGAGATATTTTTCGATAACCAGCACCACTTAATCGCTTGCGGTTCATAGTAAATTAAATTATAATGCAGAAACACATAAAAATACACAATATACGTAGGTAACGTAGACATAAAATATTAAAATAAGCACGAAAAATGTTAACGTTTACCTACACTTTAAGTCTTTAACAAACGAATAATGATTTTACATTTAACATAGATAGTACGATCAGCGATCACTGAAAACACTGATGCACAGTACAAGAGTACACTGTATTATTAATTATTATATATTATATAAACATAAGACATGGTTATTGATTCATCGTGCTGTTTACTCGCTATCGAGAGCATCGAATACTAGTGTCTAGTGCTCGGCTTATCTTGGGTATTTCCCGTAGACAGACGAAATTTTACAGATTTATTTTTAAGTTGTTTAAATAACTCGATAGCATTACAGCAACTCTTTTGAAGCTATTGTAGTATAATTTGTATACAATGTCGCTAGTTACTATCCTGTTTTAAATTATTGTATTTATTTGTTATATTGTATTATGCTGTACATTTATTACGAATTGCATGTCAAAAAATATTGATTGACGATAGAATCATACGATACCTACTAAACCCCTCAGCGTCAAAAATCAAAATTCATTCCCAAAAACTTAGATATTTAAATTTGCCGCCCCTGGGATATAACCACTTTTTGCCGCCCTTGTTTTTCGCACACCTCGCACACCTAGTTTGCGCGGGCCTG